AGTTATAAGTTATATCTTACTTCTAAGATAGGTATTAGCTAAGTTATATAATCTAGTATTATATAACCTATATTACCTAATTCTAATTTCTAAAGTATCTTTTAGAATATTTAACTAGACTATACTTTCTAATATACTACTATATTAAATTAGAAACTAAGGCCTTAGATCGCTACTTCCGCTTAGTAGTAGTAATAACTATAGTATTCTAATAGTATCTAAGCCTATATTCGCTCTTATTAAAGTTATATATATTATACTCTATAATTCTATAGTAGGTTTTTACGTTTTAAACGAGCTTAAACTACTCTATAATAACCTCTAGATCCTTATTCTTAGCTCTCTAGTTTAATAGCTTTCGTAATAACTATATTTCTAAGCCTATATAATACTTAATAAAGTTATAAGCCTATCTTTAGCTAACTTTTTATTTATTCTATATCTTAGTTATTAAGAAGGCCTAGCTTCTAATTATAGCTTATATTAGTAAGTAACTATACGAATCTAGGTCTAGAATCTTCTAATAAACTACCTTCTCTTTAATTAGAGTAAGAGCTCTATTTAATAGAAGTAAACTAGTCTTTAGAGCCGTACCTTTAAGCCTCTAGCTAAGCGTTATATAATCGACTCTATATATAGTTATAGCGCGTTATACGCTTCGAAAACGACCTAATTAGTAGCTATAAATAGTATACTAAATAGCTTCTTCGTTTAAAGATACTATCGCGTAAGGTAGTAGAATAAGTAACGCGTTTAGTAGTAGTAGTAGATACGAGATAGAACTAGCTTATATGCCTATCTAGCTTATATGCTTATTAAACACGTTAGCCACCATGGCGTAACCCAGATCCACAAAGTGCATGACCCCACCTGCAGGCATCTCCATTGCGAACTTCCTACCTTCAACAACACACCACGACACAGCCATCGCCATGGCACCTGCATCGACGCTGGTGAATAAGATCAAGGTGCAGCTCAAGTTGAGCATTGCACGCACTCGCATGGTGCAGCAAAAGGATACGGCTCTGGCGAAGCAGCAGCGCAGAGAAATGGCCCAGCTGCTGGAGCTGGGCAAGATCGAGAGTGCGAAGATCCGCGTCGAGAACATCATCCGCTCCGACCTGCATACAGAACTGCTCGAGGTCATGGAGCTGTATTGCGAGCTACTCACTGCACGAGCTGGACTTATGGAAGCGAAAGAGTGCGACCCCGGGCTGGAAGAGGCTGTGAAGAGCATAATCTATGCGGCGCCGAAGATTGATGGAGTCAAGGAGCTGAGCATTGTGCGGCAACTGTTGGCGGAAAAATATGGCAAAGAGTTCACGTTACAGGCAATGGAGAACAAAGATGGCAAAGTGCCAGAACGGGTGCTGAAAAAGACGAGGGTGGAGCCACCCGCTCCGGAGCTCGTGGAGGCATATCTCTCTGCCATTGCGGACGCATACGGGATAGACTATCCACCGGGCACGAAAGCTGCACGAGAGGCCGAGCAAGCGGCCGACGACGAAGAGGACAATGACGACGAGGATGACAATCCATCCGGCGGCCAGAAGGTCAAGGCACTTGCGGAGCCGCTCACGACGGAAGAGCTCAGCAAAGCAACTCCCCCGCGGAACCTGGGACCGAAGAGCCCTGTTTCAGTCATGCCGCCTTCGCCCAGCACGGACAACGTACGACCAAAGGTCAATTTGCCCGGGGCACCCGATTTGACGCCATCGAAGAAGATGACGGATAAGCTGAATGGCGCCAAGAAAGACAATGGACCCGGCGGAAAGATTCCAGATATCGACGAGCTGCAGAAGAGGTTTGCATCGCTCAAACGATGACGAAAGTAATAGTCCCACCCAGACTACGAATTCAACGATATGATTCACGACTACCACGACCATTACGAATGCCAGAACGGCTACTCCCAGCGCACCTACGAGGACGATCGCGCACCTGGGTTGGCGCATCTATAGCTTGCTCCACGGCGAGATGATGGCCCAGGACAATCACGTGCTCCACCGTCAGCAATATCAATGCGGTTGACTGCAAAGGATGAGCTCTCTGCCAGTTCACTGCACAACGGCTTGGGGGCGCAAGTCGGCATCTCGCCAGCTTTGACATCCCTGGGCCGGTGCGAACATCGGCGCGCTCGGTTTCACTCCTCATGATACCCGGCTCCATCTCGCAGGCCAGGGCTCACCAGCGGCTCGATCCCTGGATCTCGTGGATACCGACTCAGGTCTCTCGGTCGGATTTATGTTTACAGAATATGTATCAAAATCTCATATGTACATATATCGTACAAGCTACGCTGCTATAAATGTCAAACAAGATGGGGTATATGGATATGCCCATGGCATTCGTTCATGGCTTCGTCAATTTCGTCCCGTCAGTTCCATATGCCTGCGTATTGGTACAAATGCCAAAGGTGTGGCTTCCTCGACCCGCACGGTTCTGTCGTGCTTCCCTTCCGCTTCTCTTGCTGAAAGCTCCTCAAGTCCCTTCGTACAGTGAGAATCTGCTCCCAGGCATCGTCGTATGATTGCGCTGCTGGTCGATCGTGCTGACATGGCTTCCACGAAGACTGGGTCGGTCGAGGTCGAACGGATCGCTACGCCGGGAGATGCGAGACATCCGGGAGGACCAGGTGGATGTGGAAATGTGGCTTGCTTTTTGCATCGGCTGCGGTGTGGTGATTTGGTCGCTTGTTTTTGGTCGAAAGGATTGGAGTATGCTGCTAGACAAGTTGCTCAAAGTCTTCGTTGCGGAGCCTGCAGCGATTTGTATGGGCGTGAGTACGGGTCGCCGGGGAGTGGTCGCTGCGCTGGGCTGCTCTGTGGTTTGTTGACCTTCAGCTTGCCATGCTCGGGCATTGAAGGGATCTTCTGGGGGCTGCTGCCGGACCATAGGCAGCGATACGAGCGATGGATAGGACTTGTACGATGGCGCCACCACACTCTGTCGCGATAGAGAGGGGTCCACGACTTTGATTGTGGGAGCTTCCCTTGACCATGCTGTCTCATCAATCCTCGATTGCCTGGCAGACCGCGGGAGGTTGAAAATGAAGCCTGCGAAAGCCGACGATTGCTTCCGGAAATAGCTCGCTGCAGTATCTGTGGAATTCCTTCTTGGAGTATTTGGTCTCGAGAGGTCGGGATTCACAACGCGAAGCTGCCCGACTGGCACAGAGTCTCTGTAGCCCTCGCCCTCTCCCATCGCAAACGGGCGCGGCCAATGCCTGGTGCTCATCCTGATCATCCGGTGGTCTTCATCCACTGCTATATTCGTCGTGCTCGGAGGGCGCGCGTGAGAGACGTGTGAGATGCGCGAATCTCTGTGAGAACCTCTGCCAACTGGCACAACATTGACAAGGCTGCTGAACTTGGGCAGCATCCAGTCCGGGGACTCTCCCTTCTCACTCATGGATTGCATATCGGTGTCGATTGTCTCGCGCTTCTTCCGTCGCTTGCGCAGGATCAAGAATATGAGGAGGCCAGCGATGACCAGGCCTGCAATGGTACCGGACAGGCCGCCGATCACGGCACGTCTCTTTCCAGGTGCCATACCGTCTGCAATTGAGGACATGGTCGCACTGTTGGGAGGTGATGCACTTGCGGCAGCGTCCAGCGTGGAAGATGCGGCAATCGAAGTCCGGCTCGGTGAGCTAGTCTCAGTGGCATCATCTTGTGATACCCTGGTAGTTTGGGGAAATTTGGTACTGGGTAGGTTTGCAGGGCGTGAGGAAGTTAGCGCCAGCGACAATGTCGGTGTAGGGTGTGTTTGATTATTAGAAGTCTTCGCCCGGCTTGTCGCAGAAAGGTCGATTGAAGTCGCCCTCGTGACTGTGGCAATGTGGATGGTCACATATGCCGTCGACCAGACCGTCATGTCGAAGTTGGTTTCGGTCGCGGTCGCCATCGCGGCGCTGAGCCTGGAAACGGCGTCGTCTGGTCTTATCACGCACTGCAAAGAGGCTTCCAATAGTCATTCTTCTTGTTATTGCCTCGTCTGTATGCGCTGTCGCGTAGATCCGGCACGCGACTCGCAACCGCAACGGCTTCAAAAGGCCCGCGAACCACTCATCAACACCAATTCCTGCGACGGGTGAAGGAAGACATAAGGAAAACGCAGACGCTGATGTCAAGAAGACGCTCGCACGGCGGGTGAGCATTGATACGGCGCGACCGAGGCGCGCCTCGAGTCACGGCGGGCAGACGTGAGCAGACGACAACATCCCCTTTCAG